CTTGGCACCCTTGTTTCTGTTGCTCTCCCGACTTGATAGTTACACCGGATATCCTGGATATGATTTGGATATATGATTGTACAGATCAATCAGTCAAGTATGCGTCCTGTCGAACTTTCGTCACTATAGACGGAGGAATGGGTAATGAATCCGTCATACAACATGTTCAAAATAGGTTTATATCAGTTCGCTCTATCATATCTTTAAGCATAGAAAACGATATTTATATTAAAATGTGCCAGGTGTACGACTCAATTGAAGATAAAAAAGAAAGCATCGATCATATATTGATATCAAAAAATGTATATGCTATAGGACCAGAAATGCGTTGAAATAACCTCGAACCCTGTATCGTGTGCTGGCCTGCCGAACCTTTGGGTGAACCCGACATTAAGAAAAATTTCTGATTTATTTAAGCATAAATATAAAATACTTTATTATCTAGTAGATATTGAGGAAATTGAGTGCGTTGATGATGATGGACCAAGTACAGATGATATGTCGAAGATGGTAATTTTAACAACAACATTAATTTATACTCTAAATCTAATGGAAAAAGTAAAGGAATAGACAGGAGTAACGAGGATGAAGACAATGATGAAAATGATAACAATAAAGAAAATAATTATAGTTTCAACAGCAATTATTACAAGGTCAGGAAGAACGAGTTCATCAAGATCTCATCTAACGGTAAAATTGAATCTCATGATAGTTACGTTCAAAGATTCAGCATATCTGTAGATATCTGGGAGAGAATAACATCCGATCAACATGTAAAGAAACGTTATTTAGAATTTATAATCGAGTTAAAAAAATAAGAATATCAAATTTTTTAAGCAATTTATCTCCGGAGTTAAGTAAGTATATTTGTTATTTTATTGAATCAATAGATATAAATGTTTCGCCTATACATGATAACTCTGATGACATAGTCATAAGGCCGGAAGGCAATCATCATCCTTGATCTAAAAACAGTGAGATATCTTTTTCGAGGGGAGTGGATAAGGACACTAGATTTCAAATGGAAGGCCTGCTTGCTAAA